GGGTGGGGTTGTTACCATAGAGGAGGGTTCGAGGAGAAATACATTTTCTCACTGTGTAAACCCTGTCTTTCAAAGGCAGGGCGATGCCTGTGAATTAGGAATACTTTTCTGAATTTTCCATAGTTTAGGTGAATAGTCATTGAGTCATTCATCAGTTATTCATTGATTATCTATTATGGGATAGGTACTGTGCTAGGTGCTGGGTAAAAAAAGGGTGGGGAAGTAAAATCCTGTCTCATAACACTTACAGTCTAGTGTGTCTGGGGGAAGACAATAAATAGATAAATGAGGAAATGTTTTGATGTCAGATGGGAATAAATGCTACTGGGAAGAAGAATGAGGGGAAGAGGAAAAGGAATATGGATGATGTTGTTGCATACAATGTTGTTGTATGGTGATCAGCAAAAGACTCCCTGAAAAAGGGTCTTTCAGCAAACACCTGAGTAGAAAGAGGAACAAGGAATGTGGTATTTGGTAATATTCAAGGAAACCTTGACATGAAAACTTGCAAAACAGATGTCGACAGTTTGGAGAAAAGCTGGGACAACTGTGGGGCACTTTTCAGAATATCCACCTCACTATGGTTCTTGATGGCACAGTGGACGATATAGTGCAGACACAGAGGACCAAACAACCCTGATCCAAAGAAAGATTTATTAAAGTTGGATCTGAGTGTGAAGATGTTTTAGAAATATATCAGTTGACTTGGTTTGTTTCTATTTATCTTTTTTATGTAGGCACAATAGCGATACAATAAAACCACTGTCTAAAGTCTAAAGAAGCTCTCTAAAGAAGTATAAAATAACACATCTAATAGATAAGAGAACATTGTTTCATAGTTTCATTGGTAGTTTTATTGCTTTTTGGTTTTGTTTGTTTAAAAAGTATCATTTCAAAATAAGGTTAATATCGTTTAAGTACCTAGAAGTAGAAACAATAGAAACGCAGATGTAGAGAACGGAGTTGTGGACATGGGCGGTTGGGGGATGGTGAATAGGGAGATTAGGTTTGACATAAATACACTACCATGTGTAAAATAGATAGCTAGTGGGAACCTGCTGTATAGCACAGGGAGCTCAGCTCGGTGCTCTGTGATGACCTAGATGGGTGAGATGGGGGGTGTGGGAGGGAGGTCCAAGAGGGAGGGGATATATGTATACATATAGCCGATTCACTTCATTGTACAGCAGAAACTAACACAACATTGTAAAACAATTATACTTCAATAAAAAAAAAAATCGTGTGTATTTAAAAGCTTGAAAAAGAAGTCACAACAGGTTGTGTACAATTTCTGCCTCTTTCCCTATCCCCTCCTGGGCCAACATTCTCCTACTTAGAATCACTATCAATCTTTATCTGTTAAAGAAAAGGTGGTGGTTATGACACAAGAATGTAATCATTATCTTCCCATTAACATTAACAAGATGAATTTATGGGACAAGGGTGAGCTATAGAAGAAAGTTTTATTAATTAGGCTGTAAAAATGGCATATTAATGAACAGAGAGAAATCAGAAAAGATTTAGATTTAGATTCTTCAGACTATGGAAGTGATTATCCTTAATCATAGTAAATTCCTACTAAAACATAGACACGGTTTCTCCCCCCCTCCAGTGATTAGTTGGGAATTAATTTAAGGATTAATGAGAAAATTTTATTTTTATTCAAATTTGTAAAAAATGGAGGAGAAAGTGAAAATATATTATTTAATATGTTAAATTTATCCCTTTTTAATGAGCTGAAACAATCTAATTAAATCTCACATTAATTTGAACTTAAATGTCAATATACTTATGTATATTTGGAAATAATAATTATATTATGAATATATTAAGCAAATTACCTAAATGTATTATCTCCCAATTTTATGACTTGAACATAAAAAATATTTTTTAAAAAAGCGAAGAAAAAAAATCACCAAAACTCCATATCCCCATGATGGTCACCCTATGTGTGATTTTCTGTGTAAGCACCATTATTGTAGTTAAGTGCATTTTACCAGGATTACATTTATGTTCTTCCTTTTGCTACAATGATTTCCTTTTGCTACATTATCTACATAATTATCACTTAAAAAAAATCAACCTACTATTCTATTGTGCTAATGCAGCAAATTTAATTAATGAAGTAATGTCGATTCTTCAAATTTTAGATTATTATCAAATTTTTACTGTCACAGAGGACCTAGTCATAAACCTCTTTGTGCAGAAAGTGTTTTTATCCACTTCTTTTTATTACTTCCTTGAAACAAATTACCAAGAATCATTAGTTCAGGAGGTTTAAAATTTTTATTGGCTCTTGGTAACTTTTGGCAACATTATGTAAAAGTACACTACTAACATTGTTTCCAAGTCATATTTATTTCTAAATTGATTTATTTACTTCATCAATTCTGCAACTGTCCTCTAGTTCTATGGATAATAATGATTGTAATGGTGTAAACACCACTAACAATGATAAATTTATCTAGTTCAAAACATGCCAGTCACTATTCTAAGCACTTAATATAGAATTGTAATGGAAAATTATAGATTTTGTATTTAAATATACTTGCATTTGATTACTTACTCTTTCACTAATTAGCACAGTGACCTTGGGTAAGTTACTTAACCTCTTTGAGATAAGCTTTCCCAGTCATACTATGCAAATAGTATTAAAAATCTTGCAGGATTTTTGAGAGGATTGGTTTTCTTAATTTTAAATTTCTTGAATTTTTTTTTTTTATTTAGCCCTTTAATCTGACTGGAATTTATTTCTGAACATGTTAAAATTTGTGTAACTTCTTTTTCTAAATTGTTAATTTTTCATAACATTGCTTATTAAATATTATCCCTTTGCCAATATTTAGTGATATGTACTTCCTTATATTTAAATTGTCATATACAATTGTATGTTTATGAACTTTCTATTCTTTTTCACTGATATATTTTCATGCCAACACAATAATACTTTAGTGATTATTGAATCCAAATATGTTTCATTCTTTAGCAGGCTATACTTTGCTTGCTAAACTCACGTTTTTTATTGTTCCATTTTTTCAAAGCACTATTTCATGGTTTTGAAAATTTATTTTTACCAGAAAATTTTAGAATTATTTTCTTGAGTTTCAAAATAAGTGTATGGGGTGGGTTTTGTTAAATGCATTCATTAACTTCAGGAGTACCGATATCTTTTCAATATAATCAAATTGTTAAGGCTTTGTGGATAGTTGCTCAATGTAAACAGGTGCAGCAGTCTCTGTAAATGAGACCGCTGGGGAGAGAGGGGCCCTCCAGTGCTCCTATTAAAATCAGTCGGCTTTAATAAATGTTTTCACTAGAACAAAACCCATGTGTGATTGTATCTACAGAATTAACTGAAATATATTAAATCGGGTACCTTTTTTGAAATATACAGGATATGCATTCTAAACTATTCCAGTTAAGTATAAAATTTGCAATCATATTTTAATTATCAAGAGTATAAATATTGGTATATTGAACCAGAATGTGGCATTCATAAAAAAGCATGAGGAAATTAATTCTGACTAATGAATTAAATCCTGATTTAACTGAAATCTGTTTCAATTTAATTACATATGCCCTCAGTGTCATGCTATTTAAATGGAAGATAATAACATGGCATTTTATAAAGTTGATTTGCATGAAATATTTAAATAAGAAAAAGGACAAACGTATCTTAAATGAATGGCCCAAGTTATACAGTACAATTTTAATATTTTAGACAGCTGTTCACAAAATTTAAATTTGTTAAATAATAGTAATGATAATTAATATTATTAGCATTCATTTAGTGCTTCCTACATGGCAGGCATATTCTAAGTGCTTTCTTTGTATTCATGTTATCTCAGAGTAAACTTATGAGGAAGAAATTATATGATCCTCATTTTATAATTGAGGAAACTGAGGCACAGAAAAATCTAAGAACCTTGCTCCAAATTATACAGAGTGAGTGTTTGAACCTGGGTTGTTCTCCAGAGACTGTGCTTTCAACCATTTTGCCCAGAACAGTTAAATCCTTTATATAGTCTATCTTTCTTCAACTTTGCTTAGCAATTGCTTTTGATTATCTATAGATTTGTAAATTTTAGCTGAAATCTTTTACAATATTTTGACTATTTATTTCAGCTGATGAGGGATTCCTAGAAAAGATCAAACAAGGCTTAATAAGTGTTCTTGTTCAGGATTAAAGGCTAATCAGAGAACAAAACAGTGAGCATATAGAATGGATTAAAAATAGAGCACAGCTTTCAAATATGACTTTTCAATTAAAAGTATGACATATGACTATAAAGTATTGCCCTTTTGCCCATATAACACTTTCTGATTTAATTTCAAGACTATTTTATGATTCTATAAAAATTGTATCAGTAGAATTGTATCAGTAGAGGTCTATAAAAGTAAGGTATTCGTTTGACCTTTATTCTTTCTACACCAAAAGTAAAATAAGCAATTACATTCAGCTCCTATATAGAAGCGGGGGCTGTCCAGCTCTAGCATTAACAATTGCAAATTCAGCCTTTACCTTTCTCTGGCCAAGGATGGCTGGTCGGGAGCAAATCATCAGCCAATAGGAGTCCCCCAAGTCAACTATATATGTTGCTTGAGCACCATCTTCTGGACACTTTAAATAGCAACCAATTTGGGAACACTAAGATACCAGGGCAACATTTGAATTCCAAATATACTTCCCTTTATGCCCCTGTGTAGTAGCAATCCATTTCCACTAGCTCTTCGGAATTAATTGCCCAGGCAGGACATTCACCTCCTTCTTTGCCTACTGATTCGCTGGGATGAGGCGCTTCAAGTGGCCAGGTGGTAGGCTAAACTTCCTAGTTTAATGGAACCATATTACTGGGTCTCCTGGTGGAAGAATTCCTCCCTTGGGAACCAAGACCACTAAACTAGCAGAACCACAAATCCTGAGGTCCCTAAGGGCTCTGACACAGCTACTTAACTCTGCCATTGTAGTGTGAAAGCAACCATAGACAATGGTGTGGCTGTATTATTACAATAAAAGTTTATTTAACAAATAAGCAGCAAGCTGAATGTGGCCTGTGGTTCATAGTTTACCAACCCCTGATATATATATGATACATCTCATATATATATATATCTCCCCGATTTTTTGGCAGATAGATACAGATACATTTAGAGATAGAGATAAACATGATAGATATAGAAATAAATTTCTAGTAATAAGGAGCGTCTACTTGGCTGCTGAGACTGTTTTATCTGCCACCATGAACCAATAACCCTTAAAAGCCCTGTGCTAATCTTTTTCTTAATAACTGTGGTGTGTGTACACGTCTGTGTGTGTGTATGCATGTTAATCTAAAATCTTCTGTGATAACTAAACTTATCCTGCTACTTAAGATTGTAAGATTGATTCAAATCCCAAATCCACATCTTATGAAATATTCAAGGGGCTCCCTAAGACTTCTGGGAATACCCAGCATAGTCTTAGTCAGTGTCATCTTTACTTTCAAACTCCTACTTTAACTAAATTAGAACAAATAATTTATTGCCACTTCTCCACAACTTGTTAACTCAAACAGTGAACTCAGAGTTTTCCTTATTTTCTACACACACACACACACACACACACACACACACACACACTTTACTGAAGGCCTTATCTGGCATATCTGACTTTACTGATGTTCTGGACAGATGACCTAGGTTGACCTAGACTGCAAAGTAAGAATTTGAAATTGAACATTAAACATTATCTCATGGTGCTTTCCACCAACAAAGGGTCCAGTCTCACGGCATTTTAATCAGCTCTCTCCCACACCATCCTATTCTGACACATTTTATTTTGTATTTTATATTTTATTTTACATTAACACAGTTCTGACACATTTTATTTTCCCAACTTCCTGCTAACTATTGCCCTCTAGTGGCTTCTCAAGGTGTTTTCCTAAACACAGACTTCTCACACCTAAAAAGAACTCAGGTGTCAGCTGTTCAGATCAACTCATCTTTAAACATTTTGCTTGCAACAGACCAAACCAGTATTCAGCATAGTCTTTATATAACTTTACTTTGTAACTCATTTAAGTTATTGAGTAATAATTACGAAGATATTATTTCTCCACATAATTTGCCAAAATATGGCATCTCTGATAATAAATGATCTGTCAATGAACAATATCAAAAAAAGATATCTTCCAATAGGGTAATTCACTCGGCCACATTTCATAGTAGTTAATCTTATTTTGTGTAACACAAGAAATAATGAAAATTAGAAGGCTTCAAGGAACCATATTGACGTGTTTGTTGTTTTTGTTTTGTTTAATGGTACTGGCAACTGGATTTACTACCCATCTATAAAATTCTGTGGGCCAGAATACTATGTTTTAGTCTCAATGATCAGATCTCAGCCAAATACCTTTATAGACACTTGCGTGATTAAAAATATCTTTTGAAAGAAAGCTGTTCATTGTCACATTGTTCATTGTCCTTTGATACAACTCAGGTGGGCTCCCTGCCTGAGAGGGAATGTAGAGAGGACTCCTTATTTCTTGGAGCAGAGCTGTAACCTTGGCTTTTCTCCTGCTGGTCTTCAAAACAATCAAATATGTCAAGTATCTGCAGTTAAGACACATTATAGGCACTTGTGAACAAGAGATCAGTATTCAGGAGTAAGCTCAGAGATGGAATATGAACTCAGGTATGATTCACAGAGGTCATGATGAGATATTTTTGACAAAGAGCACAGTGAGAGAAGAGCAAAGGGTAAAGGAGATTTATTGATCAGTCCTAAGATATACTGATTGCCCTTGACTATGCACCTTTTACTAGAAGCTCAATGTCTAAAATTTCTTGAGTTAAGACTCTCAGAGTGAAGTTTGATTTTGCTTAATATTTAGTTGACTACTTATTACGCTTTACTGGATTTGGTAATTCAGACCAAAAAAAAAAAAAAAAAAATCCTCCACACAGGATTAGTGGGATTAATAGCCAAACTTTTGTCTTTCATTATACTTACAGAACCCCAGGGAAGTACCAATGTTGGAACTCAAGATGAGGAGTCCTATTCTCTGGAAATAGTTTTCAGTTTGCCCTTATCGTTCTTGGGACTGGAATGATTTTCTCAGCCTTCCTTTGACATCTGCTGGGAAGGATCAGTGATTCTGTATAATGATTCTATATTCATGAGTGCTATCTATCTTTTCAGAAAGTTCTATGATTATAATAGTACAACTCTTAGACACGTAAGGTGTAATCTTTCTCTTTTCTATTTCTCATTGCAAAAATGAATTTTGTAAGTGATTTTAGGTATTGCTATCTCCATGGTAGCAAAGGGGGTGATGAATCAAAACATTCATGTTTTCTTTGCATAGAGAAAACTGGAGAATAAAGTAAGGTGTCCCTACATCATCACTGCACTCTGGGATATCCAGATAGTTACCTTAGATTATGTTAAAAAGAATTTTAATTTACTATTTGTGCTGTGTCATTGTTACATTGTAACAATCTGACTATTCTAGTTAGATAATGGGTAAACAATTTAAGGGAATGAAATACATTTCTCTTTTCCTGATTATGTTTTCTAGGGTGAAAAATATTAAAATTCATCCTTGCACTTGAATTAGAGAATTGTATAAATTATCTGTCTCAATAGATAAACACAGGCATAGAAATATGGAAAACTGAACATAGTTATAGTATAGCCTTGTACATATTAATATTGAAAGCTATTAAATTGTGCCTCTGTGTTGAATGTTTTTTCATTTTCGTGCAACAGAACTTTGCTTTTGCTTTTAAGAACTGAGAAAACATCAGTCCTTTTCCACACACCCTCTCATGATTACATGTCAAATTCTTAAATTAAATATGGCATGTTAGATTTTTTTGTGGTCCAGAGGGTAAATAATATGTACTAAACATTTGTAAGATATCTAGGACATTCTTAGTTGCTTTATCCTTAACATGTGGAAAAGATTATTGTTTCCCACTCTGTGTATAAATAAACTAAGAAGAGAAATTGTACAAAGTTTTATTGCTGCATGTTTCTATATTTGATTTGAACTAGACATAGATTTCAGATATTCAGTTTCTTGAAGAAATATTAAGGATCTGTTCTATAGGAAATTTAAGATGACTAGTACATGGTAATTTATGAAAATGTCCTAAGTAACAATATAAGTCAATTTAATTGCATATGTTCCTAGAGTAAAATTGTTTTTCATGGCATCCTGACTTAAGTACCTAAGTATTAGTAAACAATGATATCTTCAGATGAATGGTAAGAACAATGAATACACAGTCCATTTGATTCAAAGTTACTATTTATCTCCCTTAGAAGCTATGGTGAAGGAACAGATGAACTTGCTTTCATGATATGACTGCCATTAAGAGAAGTAATCAAGACTAATGTGATTTTTTTTATAAGATGTTTACTCTTTCCATTTAAATTAATTGTGCCCCAGCAAGTATTTAAATGCTTTTCTTAGTAAAAGATAAAGTAAATGGCAGAAAATATCAGTAGTTTAAATTTTGAAAACATAATCAATCTTTTATACAGTATTTTTCCCCACCCGGTTGCTTTGGTTTCCTTTTTACATCTCATGAATAAAAAGCATCTAGTTAATGATCTCTTGTCTTTTGAGAAAATGGCTATAATTAATTTGCCTCACTCAACTTCTAACTCAGATAACCGATTCTAGAAACAGAAGAAAATAAAAACTCACAACAGTCATGGTAGTAAACCTAACTGAATTTGGGAACATTTTCTACAAACTGCCAGGATGATAGAAATGAGAAACCAATTAGCTCAGTGATGGGAAGCAGTAAGCCATTCTCTCTGCGTCCTCTGCCATTTTCTTCCTGTTTCAGAACCTGAAGATCTTTATCAAATAGAAAAATTTACAGCTATTCTTCTACTTCCTAGATGCTACCTTATGATGTCAATGTCTACAACCCAACTCAACTTTTTCTACATCTAATTAGAGACCAAAATTTCTGTAATACTAGTCGGATAGAACCAGGGGCCACCCAAAATTGAGACTGATGGTGGCAGCTTACTATCTTCTGCAAGATGTAATGCACACAAATAAGTATTAGAAAGAGGGATGGGGTCGGGAAGACCTCCGGTCATGGTACATACTGAAGGTTCTACAGATCCATGTGCATTATTCGTTCAGAACATTAAAAACCTAGGTGGTGAGTATAGAAAGGGCTCATTTCATTCCTGCAGGATCCAAATAGATAAAAGCCTTCTAAGTAATGAAAGAGCATATGAAATCAGCACATGCTCCTGAAACAGTGTTCTGGATAAAGTCCCAATAAAAGAATGGGACTTGCACCCAAGTTGGATCACAATGGACATAAACTCATTCCTCGGTCCTTGTGATGTGGTAATCACTGTGCCTGGTAAGAGTTCTCCTTATTTAGGACTGAGTACATTTTTAAAAGAGGGAAATTAAAATGTATGATAAAGCAACAGAAAAGAAGTCTTTGTGAAATTTCAGAGAAAGAGGAGACTCCAAAAATGATTTACTTTAAGACATATAACGATCAGCATGTTAATTCTCCTCAGGACACAAGGTGTTTCCACATTAATTAAGCATGGCAGAAGACCACAAAGAAAGAGCAGGTTGGCATGAAGGTGAGTTAGACATGGTAAAAAGGAGATGGGTGAGAAAAAGAGGGACTTAATATATTCCATAAATGAAAAAAGCCAAATTGGAAGAAGAGTACAGCATATTCCAGGTAAAGTCAATGATAATAAATTCGCACCTTAAGATATCCTGTGAACGAAAAGGAATTAACACCTTGAACATATCTTCATATTTTAAGAAACAGAATGGTAAATAGAAAAATTCTAGAAGTATCAAGGCAGGATAACTAAGTTGCTTACAAAGAATGAAAGAATATTTTTACCGGTCTCTGAGTTCATCTGTGGAAAGTTTTTTTCCCATATTCATTGGCAATTTACTTTTCTTGTTTTGTGAATCACTGGTTAATATTATTTACTATTTTTAAAACTGAAATATTTTAGTTTCACAACTGATTCATAAATGTTGGTTCTTATTGTAAAACTCAAACACTGTAGAAGTATAAAGGAAAAAATAAAAGTCTCTTGTATCTCTCAACCTTCATCATAACTCCTCTGAGCAAATCTGGCCACTTTCAACTAATGCAATAGGAGGACTAAAAGAGCTCATCCTTCTCAATCTATTAACTCCTAGAAATATCTTGCTCTTGCCCACACCTATTAATGGAGAGACAGGAGTTGGTCTGTGAAGAGCAGAATTCTTGAAGTTGAAATATGGAGTGGTTACATTTTTTGGTAATGAGTCAAAATCTAAGATATGACCACAGGAGTGAGTGTATGAGGTAGGGCAAGAGTTGAGATCCTTAGAGGAGAGTTCAGGAAACTAAGGAACCAGGGCTTTGGAAGGATCAGCTAGGTGTACATTGAAATCACCGAGAATTTTGGCAGGAACAGCATTGAAGAGATGGACAGTAAGCCAGGAGTGAAGTTGGACAGGAATAAAGACGCAGATGTAGAGAATGGACTTGAGGACATGGGGAGGGGGAAGGGTAAGCTGGGACGAAGTGAGAGATTAGCACTTACATATATACACTACCAAATGTAAAATAGATAGCTGGTGGGAAGCAGCTGCACTGCACAGGGAGATCAGCTCGGTGCTTTGTGACCACCTAGAGGGGTGGGACAGGGAGGGTGGGAGGGAGGGAGATGCAAGAGGGAGGGGATATGGGGATATATGTTTATATATAGCTGATTCACTCTGTTATAAAGCAGAAACTAACACACCATTGTAAAGCAATTATACTCCAATAAAGATGTTAAAAAAAAAAAAAAGTGAGAGCACTGCAAATGATGCAATGAGAAGGCATGGCTGGTGATGTATCGCGATAGAGGGAAGAAGGGAGAGTGATCTTGAAGTGGCAATGCTGAGCAAACAGCCAGCCACCCCTCCTCCAGGCTGAGCAGTGTTCGGTGGTGCCTCCACCAGAGAGGGCTGCAAGGGAGCCAGTGTCCTCAGAGGAGAACTTAGTTTCAGTTAGAGCAGGTAGTTAAGGGAACAGGTTAAGGATACAGGGGGTTTTTCTACCGAATGACTATGAGTTCTAAAAGCACAGCAGGAAGGTTCAGGGAGTGAGAAGGAGAGGAACGTGAATAAGAGGAGGGATGTTCAGATGCCTCATGGTCCCTATAGTCTGGGAGAGGAGGGATGACCTGATGTGTTTTTTTTGTAGCAACTGAAAGAAATCCAGATGGATACCATAATAAGAATCGTCTTAATGGGCTCAGGGGAAATGGTGATGGAGGATCTGTGAGCACCAGGGTTGGTGGTAGGGAGAGAGAGAGTGATGAGGCTCTCGCCAGAGCATCACAGATATGGAGCCCTCCTTTATTCTCACTGAGGGGGCCAGAGGAGGGGACATCTTGCCAGTATACAGCTGTCCCTTTGGATGGAACCCCCAATAATCCAGTCTACTGAGGGATCTAGAACTCTGATTTAACAATGAAAGAGCTATAGATTCCAGATTCTTATTTATAGAATACCTTATACTCTATACTTTCTTATACCTAGATTCTTATTCAATGGTTCTAGGAAATACTGGGGGGCCTAATACCACTTAGATGTTTAGAGTTAGGAAGCCTGAGAATGACACGGCTGGATCTGCATCACGGTCACTGTGGAGAAACAGGGTGGATTTGGAAAGAAGATGGGAAGAGACTATTTTGTCTCCTTGAATGAAATGTAAAGAAACGAAAGGCATTTAGTGACATAAACAGAGCTTTTGTAATCTACTTGAGCTGAGAAGATTAAACTGGGTTTGAAGCTTTCTAGGTTATGTGGCTTTGTGGTAGCCACAGTTTAGGTGTGACAAAGGAAGTCCGAGAGACAGTTACACAGATGGCCAGCTCAGAGAGGAACCAAAAGCCAAAAATAAGCAGAATATGCAAATTCTTAGAATAGTTTTAATGCAAGTTCTTTCCCAAGACTTTTTAAGACCAGGTTTTAAAATATCTGTTTATGGGGCTTCCCTGGTGGCGCAGTGGTTGAGAGTCCGCCTGCCAATGCAGGGGACACGGGTTCGTGCCCCGGTCCGGGAAGATCCCACATGCCGTGAAGCGGCTGGGCCCGTAAGCCATGGCTGCTGAGCCTGCGTGTCTGGAGCCTGTGCTCTGCAACGGGAGAGGCCACAACAGTGACAGGCCCGCCTACCGCAAAAAAAAAAAAAAAAAAAAAAAAAAAAATCTGTTTATGGATACAGCATATGATTAAATTGGATTTTTTATGGTTAAAATGAAACGAGCAGTAAAAATTTTACAGATTACTCTCAGGATTAAAGCTCTGTAATTTTACTCACTCTAACCATAAGGAGGGAGAGGTGTCACGCTGATCTAAACTTCCCCGTTAACAAATATGCTGAAAAAAGATTAAAGGCAGGCTGACTTGCAGAAATGCATTTAAATTGTTCAGCGAGCATATGGAAAGTTATTTGCGTTGGTTAATGGAAGATGACACACACACACAAAAAAATCAGTTCTTTCCTTTCCATCTCACTGGTATTTAAAAGCAAATAAAACCAATCTGATTGCATTAAAATTCTGAAAGTTGGGCTTGGCAGAAATACTTTAGAGAGGAATGAGGAAATATCCCTCTACATCTCTGCCTGAATTCCAAAGATGTCTGAAGAAAAAGGGGTGTCAGATGGAGGCCAAAACATAACACTTTTTATTAATAAAGCTTGGTGGGAAGATGCAGTGGAGAATTAGATCCATATGGTCCCAATAATCGGACTCTAAAATCCAGAAAGTTTACTAACGTAGTAAAGGCTGTGTTGGTAAAATCTCTGGTATGAGGAACAGAGAATTACTACACCTTGAGGCCAAGTGACCACTAAGGAGACCAAGGGAAAGAGCAGTGCTTTTTTTTTCCATTTTAAAATGATACGAGTTTTTTTCCATATCCCAGCTGCTGTACATTGAGATGTCTCGCACTGAATGTCATTCCAGTTATCTATGGCAGAGCAATAAACTACCCCAAAACTAAGTGGCTAAAAACAAAACATTTTGTTATATTTCATGATTCTGTGGGTCAGAAATCAAAACAGGGCTCAGCTATAAAATTCTTCTGGCTCCCCAGGGTCATTTGGGGGTATTCAGCTGATGGGCTGATACAGAAGTCCAAAATGGATTCACTCACATGCCTGCCTTAGCACAGATTGATGGAAGACTGGGTTCAACTCTGCTCTTCTATCTCTCCATGCAGTCTCAGGGCCTCTCCACATGGTTCCTCCAGCTGAACTTCTTACATGGAGACTCAAGACTCCAAAGGTGAATATTCAAGATACAGGAAATGGAAATGTTAGTCTGTTAAGAGTTGGACCCAGAATCTAGCGTCTCATCATTTTAGCCACATTCTATTTGCAAAGAAGTCAAAGAGTCCACTCAGATTCAATCAGCGTGGTAGCTTGCCTGCCCTTTGACTACACAGAAAATACATTCAACCCTTCCCATGACCCCTCTGAGTTCTCACTGCACTACAGCAACACGCTTAGGCCAGGTGCCAGGTGTGGACGAGCCTCCTTGCTCTTGGGGCTTGATTCCTCTCTATCTGATGAGCTATGAACTAAAGAGACACGTTTTCCTACCACCACACAATGGTGAGATAAAATAAAAGCAGTAGGAAACTCAGTTCAAATAAGGAGGGAATGAGAGGTACAGCGGTTACTGAAATCTAGGGTCAGGGACGGTTTTGCTCCCTGGGAATGATTCACCTCTGCTCTTGGCATTGCCTTTTAGCTCTTGGTTCTGGTTTTTTAGGTCCTTATCTATATGCACTGATCAATTTTTATTTTAACCAAGTGACCTCCTCAGCCTGCTTTCTGTCCATAGTAGGTTGGGGAGGTCCAAAGACTCCTTTGTATTTTACTTTTAAAATCCATGCCATTAGCATAAACCACTCACAAATTTTTTTTTTTTTTTTTTTTTTAACTGAGACAGGCCCTTTTCTACCTCAGGCAGAGAGTAAGGCTGCTGTGGGGCACCATCTATAAGATCCTTTAGAGTCCTAGGAGTCATGCGCTTACATTTTTTGAGGTCTCAACAAGGGGATTTAGAGCAGCCACACATTTACAGTCTTTACTGTGAGTTTCTTTCAGTGCATTGGATTTTATATTTGCTGAGGCTATTTCTTTCTTTGAGAATTTTTTTGGGAATAACTAGGGATGAAAAACCATTTTATTTTCAAACCTGACAATCCCTGGATTCTTTGTATTTCCTCTAAATTCTTAAAGTCTAAGTGAAAATGGTACAATTCTTTCTTTAGTTTCTCTTTCTTTTCCCATCCCCCTTTCATTTTGTATTTAATCATAGAAAGAAGTCTGTTGGAATTTTCCACGTTCTGTCTATAAATTTCTCCAGCTAGATCAGTGAGTTCATTAAATATTTATTTTCCACATTATGACTGGGAGCTATGTTACCAAACTTTCCAATAAAAATTTTCTTACTGTTTTTCAAATTTTCACTGTCTTCTGTAGACTCTTCAACTTTAACGAATCATCTTGGGAAGACCCTTCCAGCTTCGGCCAGCTGCCCTGTTCCTGCCATGCTGTCCCAAAGCCAGGGGCAGTTGTTTTAGGTTTTTGTTATGACAGCATTTCTATTTCAGGCACCAGATTTTGTAGGATGCAACCAAGGAAGAAGAACTACTATGAGTGATAAGGAATGGGGATTTATTCTAGGGATTAAAACTTGCACTATCATTGAACCTGGTGGAGAAGTCTTGGAAGAGTGTTACCTCTGCATCCAGTAGCCAGCCTGAAGTTGCTATGGATCATTACGGCCAGAAGTAGAGAAAAAAAAAGGGGGGATGTGAAAGTGGGGTGATCAAGAACAAACTGGAACCTATGTTTATTTCTTAGAATTTCCAACCAGGATGATGTGAGTGACTGCAGAAGCAGCTGACGCTTCACACAGAACTAAACACACGCCTGCCCCAGGACTCAGAAAAACTGAACAAGGAGACCCCTGGGATATTGAGGAGCTGTGGGCTTGAACGTGAACCTGCAGAACAGTAACAGTGTGGCAGTGGGCTGCAACAGTGTCTGATGTCCCACACGCAACTTCAAAGCCTAATTGTTGCTGCTTCCATATTTCCTTCCAGATACAGTTTTCCATATGCCTAACCCGACTGGAATTACAGAGACAAGAATTCTGGGAAATGTAGTTCCAGTTCAGCTAAATTGACACAGGACAAATTCACTGAAAATGGGTGTAAGTCCTTCAAGGTGAGTTCATTCCCACCAAGTCTCTGATGTACCTCAACTTTGAAAGAGTTCAAGAGTTAATAGGAGGCTCATAAATATCCCAGCACTGACCAAACCCTCAGCGAATTTAGAAAAAAGCCAATTCCTAGCCATGAGGACTATTATTATAGAACTCAATATTTAGCATTGCCAAAGTCTATTGCAAGAGACATAGCTGTAAATGAGTAGCGATGGGTAGATGGGACGATGGGTAGGGCATCCTGGTTTCAGCTCTGACAGAATGCTAGTGCTATCCATTTAATACCAGATAGTCGATGCTCACTGTATAGATACATAAATTGTAAACCTCAACTCATTCCTGTAGGAGGGTTATTTTGATACAAGCATTTACCACATTTCCGGGTAAAGTCCACAAAGACATACCCCTTTTTTTTTCCAAAGTGGCAATCAAAACATTGCTAATGTCTTAGAAAGTGTGGACATTTGCAAAGTTGAAAGCTTTTCTTTGCAATCTGGAAAACCCTCTTCATTTTCACTTCCTTGCTCTTTATTGCTGTATTAAAGGGGAGCTTTGTCAGGTAATGTGGACTCCACACGTGGGAAGGTATTTTTAGCCTTGTTGCTTCTACCATTTGTTGTAGAATTGCTTAGACCTACAAAGTCTTCCTGCTTTCACATTTGTTTCAGCTAGAGAAAACTTCCTCTGAAGATTTCTCAGTTGAAGCTGCTGTTGATATTTCTGGTGTTCATGTACCTAACAGCCCAGAGAGAACAGATAACTCTGTCAGTCTCTCCTCCACTTCTGAATTCCATAACTTTCATGTACATGTTCATTTAAGACAGAATATTTGCATGTCCACCTGTAATAACTACACCATCCTGTTATAACTCTAGTACTTCCTGCTCTTGAGCCGGAGGTCATGTTATATGAATTCCAGATTAGCCTTTTCCTGGTTTCTGGATGCTAAAAGGCTATACCATTGAAGGTCTCTCTGTGGGGAAAAACTTTTCTTACATAGATATAAATATTCAAGGACTTGGGGATGTTTAGTCCTTTTAAAGTATTATGTGTCAATACCACTGGAACTGGGGTTGGCACATTTTTATAATAGGAAGAGAACTTGAAGAAAAAAAAGTTTCATGTTACAAGAGCTACCAATTGAACAAAGAAGAGAGAAGAAAAAATAAAGCAATATTAGATTGCTCACTTCCCCTTATAATTTATTTCTAATGACACAGTCATATAAACGTTCAAAAATATTGATTTTGTTTTATCCTTTTCACCCTGAATAGAGACTACTTAAAACTGGAATGACTGATAAAATGTAAATTACATTGACACAAGAGGGCAGCCTTCTCATATATATTTTCAAAATAAGTTGCCAGGACTTCAAAAAATTCTGTAGATATTTTAACTCACATTAGAAAAGAAGGGAAAAAAGGAATCCTAAGCAAAATTAACCCTTCAAGGTGATTATTTTGCTAGGTTCCTTATTTAATTACTGGTAAATAGTTCTTGAATTTAAACTATCTTACATCAATAAGATTAAATAAGCAGGAAAACAAATTTTAACTGCAATAAAATTGCACTGATTTTAATGTTTTATGGAGATACAAAAGCCTGTGAAGATTATATTCTGAAGCTAGAGTAATTAAAACAATGTAGTATTTTTTTAAAGCCAAATACTTCAATGGAATATAGTAAAAAGCACAGAAACACGAACAAGTAAGAATTTATTATGTAACAGAGGAGTCATTTTTAACTAACTATTTGGAGAATAAATAGGTTAGATCTTTAACTTATACCACACAACAATATTAATTCTAGATAGATTATATTATATATTTGAATGCTAAATATGAAATAACATGCCAGAGGTAAAGCTAGAAAATGTCACATAATTTAATAATGAAAAAGCCTTCCTAAGAATGACACCCAAAGAAGGTACCTACCACAAAGGAAAAGAATGACATACTTGAGAACAAATTGTAAATTCTTCAGTTCAAAGGTCCCCAAACAAGATTTGACAAACAGGGAAAGTACATTTCTAACAACTATGAATGCAATGGTTAGTATTCCTTTCATAAAGGACTCACTTAAAATAACTAAGAAAATTAAGAAAAATATGAGTCCCCACTAGACAAAATGGACAAAGAACTTCATTTACACAGACCAGGAAGTGATCAATAATTAAAATAAAATATTCTCCCTCTTTTTCCTCATAAATTTCATTTATAATAAAGTAACAACAACAACAAGATAACATACTTGGCTTATTAGAGACTGGCAATTATAAAAGAAATTAAATATCTAGTGAGGGTGAGATTGTTGGAAAATGAGCTACCTTACATTGTCATGGATGAATGTTTGTGTTCCTCTAGAATTCATATGTTGAAACCATATCTCTTAATGTCATGGTGTTAGGAGGTGGAACCTTTGGGAAGTAATTAGGACTAGATGAGGTCATGAGGGTGGAACCCTCCTGAATGGGATTAGTGCCCTTATAAGAGTCATGGGAAAGCTTGCCTCACCTCTCTGCTCTCTGCCATGTGAGGAAACAATGAGAAGGTCACTGCCTACAACCTGGAAGAGAGTTCTCACTAGAGAACACCCTGGATGTCCATCCTCCAGAACTATGAGAAATAAATTTTATTTATTTATAAGACACCCAGTCTATGGTAATTTGACATAGCAGCTAGAAGTGACTAATACTGCTGATAGAAACATAGATTACCATAATCTTTCTAAAGAGAAAACCAAAATAAGAAGAGTTAAGCCACTTACCCTAAGTAACAGATTGGATTTTGACACAGAGATCACTACCAGCTTGACCTATGATCCTTATTTTACAATAAATGCTTGGATTTAAGGAGTATATTATTTAGAATCTAAATCAAAGACCTAAGCAAAGAGAGGAAATTTATTGTAAAACTACAGATTCTTAGGTAGATTATTTGAACCACGGTCCCAAATGCCTTTATTACTCTCTTTTGTTTCTCTGCATATCTATGTTATTCTCTTCTGTAAAGGACTTTATCTGTTTTCCTTACACACAAGATGAAAACTGCTACAGACATCTCCTGAATTTACATTTTCTGAATACAGCCATTCCTTCTCTTTCCCTTTCGTCTTTTCCAGAGGAAGAGACCATGATTGAGCCATCCTGGATTGGGTGCCAATTCTGATCAAGTCGTTTTGGCCAGAAGTTGAAGGCACCAAGAGGCTCTGATTGGCTAGGCTTGGGTTTTGTACATTTAGCTGCTTCAAACATTCATGACTAAGGAACCAGTGTCCTTTGGCTGCTATAGTGTGGATAATGGTGGTAGGGAATTGGTATTTCAATGAGATTATTTAAAGTGAGTCAATTCGCAATAGGTGTGCAGATATAATCAGGTTTCTGAACTTTGAAATGGAGGAACAGACTCTTCATAGACTGCTCTTTGTATTAAATTTAACAATTCCACCTTGTAAGTCCTCTTGTCAGGGAGCTGGCTACTCTCTCCAGACAAAAATCCTGCTTTATATTGTACCTTTCTTTCAAATTTCGGTACAGTCAATATGCCTCAAGTTTAGGTTTCTTTAAGCAAGTGACATAAAAACTAACCAAGCAAAAATTAAAAGTGAAGTATGTCGTTTCATCGTCATTCATCTTTGTAGGTGTTGTCTTGCATTTAAAAATTCTTTTAATTTCTGTTTTTTCTTTGATTTTTTTGATACCAATAACTCTTAAACACAGACACCCATCCACACACACACACATGCACACACACACACACACATACAAACACACACACATCTCACTTGCTCTTTTAAAATTTCTCATGTTTTTTCTCAGTGGTGAATGTTATGTGGAGAAAAAAGAATTGAAACTTCAGGAAATATGGGACTAAAATAGGAAAATTAGGGGATCAAAGAATGTAAAAGCAGTTTTGTCATAAAATGATTCTCTTCCAAAGAATATTTGCAGGAAAGCCTCCATTTAATTTACCCAAAGTAACCTTAATAGATTTGAAATTTATACTAAGTTAAGGCAGAGTCTTTACACAGAGCCTCATTTTTAGTCACACTGACCATTAGGTCCAGGTTTGTATCTAGGAGAAGTGACAATGAAATCAATTCTAGAAAGAGGTAATTATGATAGCTGTTAACAAATTTCCATTTAAAAGCACCAATCAGGGCTTCCCTGGTGGCACAGTGGTTGAGAGTCCGCCTGCCGATGCAAGAGATACGGGTTCGTGCCCGGTCCGGGAAGATCCCACATGCCGCGGAGCGGCTGGGCCCGTGAGCCATGGCCGCTGAGCCTGCGCGTCTGGAGCCTGTGCTCCGCAACAGTGAGAGGCCCGCGTACCAAAAAAAAAAAAAAAAAAAAAAAAAAAAGCACCAATCAGTTATTCTGGATCTGCCAGTAAATCTTTAGTACCAATAGTGTGGTAGTATATTTAGAGCCCTGGAACAGGTCCCATGACACTTATATCCTAGCTTTTCTCTGCTGAAAAAAGATGTGCATTTTTGGGCAATTAAACTTCAGCTTCCTCATTTACAGGTGTTTTTCTCAGGACTAATGTCTGGCACACAGCAGCCTGAATAAGTAATAGTTATTCAGATTATTAGCTTCTTACAGCTTCAGTCCCTGATTCCTTCATTCATTAATCATTCACCCATTCATTCAGTCATACTTCCCAAATCAAGTAATGAACATCTGTACTAAACAAAGTTTGACTGATGTTCTATTCTGCTATCACCTGAAGATTTAGTTCTTTGAAGCAGTTCAGTGAATTCATCTTCAGTGTTCTTCAGAAAAGTACATTATGGTAAACTGCACAATTCTTTCATAAGGTTCCCAATTACTTCTGTGGTACAGTGGACCAGAATGATTGTCTTAGTCCTACTTTAATGGGGGACGAGGAGGAAAGAAACTGCTGCATGGGCAGCTGGATAATCTGTGGGCAGAAGCTGGAGGTGGTACCAATTTGTGATAAAGACAGATCTGAGACTTTCATCAAAGTAATGGCATGTAACTGCCTCTCTCCTATGTTCACATACAACCCACAGGCTGACATTTGGAATTTCTTATCTTCTTGTTTCCTGGGTATGATGTTTATTTTAATCAGATTCTATCTTTGTGCACATATTCTGAGTTAGGGCAAGTTGGGGCAAATGGCTGGTCTGATCTGCCATCCAAAATCTGGTTGTATGGCCCTGAGCTTTGCTACTACCTAGGGATAATGTTTTAAGCCCAGGCGATTTTAATTCAATTTTAAAGCAATATGATTATTTAAGAATCTCTGGTTAAAAAAAGATGACAATTTTTCAGACCAAGTGTTGTACAGGCATTTGAACAATTAAAAAATGTCTGGCCATGCATACAGAGGCATGTGTTAGTTGAGCCCAAAACACCTTAGCTCATAATAAACAGAATTTAAGGGTTACTGAATTTTGCCACTTAAGAAAGACTAATTTTTTTTTTCAAAATGTAGTATCAGGTTCCTTACATAAATATAAACAGACAAGTGAATTTGCTAATAAAGGGACCAACCACCCACCAGCATGGTATAAGGATTACTTTAAACTAAAAACATCTGAACAAACAGCAGCCTCAGAAAGAAACCTTATCTAAACTTCCCCTTACTGACTTAAGCAGAGCCATAATCCCCTCTGAAGGAGTTTCCTGTTTGGGAGAAGACTGATCCTTAGCACTGGGATGTGAGAGTTCAACTGCCATAAACTCTGCTTAGGGGAGCTTCCAGCTCGGAAGGAGGCTTCCCCCAGCACCTGGATGAAAAATTGTGTAAACAAGCCTGATAAAAACTTCTATACTTTCCCACTGAAGCTCTAAAACACCCCTCCCCTTTTGTTAAACTGGTGTATAAACCATGACCTCTGGCAATTTGGGGAGCCCCTCCTTATAGTGTTCCCTCATGCATGTGGATTAAACTGTCCTCCTATGTGATGGTTAATTTTATGTGTCAACTTGACTGGGCCACAGGGTGCCCAGATATTTTGTCAAACATTATTCTGGGTATTTCTGGGAGGGTGTTTTTGGATGAGTCTAATATTTAAATTGATTGAGTAAAGCAGATTGCTCTCCCTAATGTAGGTTGTCCTCATCCAATCTGTTACAGTCCTGAGTAGAACAAAAGGTTGACTTCTCCCTGAATAAGCGGGAATTCTTCCTGCCTGGCAGCTTTGAAGCTGGGACATTGGTTTTTTAATGTCCTTCAGACTGGAAGCACACCATTGGCTCTCCTGACTCTCAGGCATTGAGTTGGGCTGGAACTACATCACTGGCTCCGCTGAACCTCCAGCTTGCCTACTGCAGATCTTGTCAGCCTCCATACCATGTGAGACAATCCCTTACAATCAATCAATCAATCAACCAACCAATCCTATTGGTTCTGTTTCTCTAGAAAACTCCAATACATCTTGTTGATCTGTATGTTGTTAATTAATTCACAGGTCCCCACCCACTTGGACATAAGTTGATAGGGGAACTATTTTCTCCCAACAGTTCTGATAATGAGGATGGGGTATTCCAGGCTCCCCACTCACTCTGGAGCCTAAAGTTGAGTTTTTTTTTTTTTAATTGGGATATAGCTGTTTTACAATGTTGTGTTAGTTTCTACTTAGAGCGAAATGAATCAGCCATATGTATACATATATCCCCTCTTTTTGTTGGATTTCCTTCTCATTTAGGTCAGCACAGAGCACTATGTAGAGTTCCCTGTGCTGTACAGCAGGTTCTCATTAGTTATCTGTTTTATACATATTAGTGTATATGTGTCAATCCCAATCTCCCCATTTATCCCTCTCCCCCTTTCCCCCCTTGGTGTCCATACATTTGTTCTCTATGTCTGTGTCTCTATTTCTGCCTTGCAAACAGGTTCATCTGTACCATCTGTACCAGATTCCACATATATGAGTTAATATACGATATTTGTCTTTCACCTTCTGGCTTAACTTCATTCTGTATGACAGTCTCTAGCTCCATTTCTATGTGGACCATTTTTGAAATCTTTATTGAATTTGTTACAATATTGCTTCTGTTTTATGTTTTGGTTTTTTGGCCACGAGGTATGTGGCATCTTAGCTCCCTGACCAGGGATCGAACCCGCACCCCCTGCATTGGAAGGCAAAGTCTGAACCACTGGACCACCAGGGAAGTCCCTGCAGTTGAGATTTTGAAACCTCCAACCGAGCCAGAGAAAGTAAGCTTTCTTACCAGTCAGACTCTTGGGTCTCTGCTAAGTGTCCAGTTAAGTGAGGCCAATAAGAAATTTCCCTTGACTTTTAAAAAGGGAAATATCCATAATTTAGATTTACAAGAAAAAAACTTTTTGGCTAGAACTAGTTCTCTGGGTATTGTGATTCTTGGTTTGGATTAGTCTTTCCCTGGGATAATCATTGTGTCCATTTGTCGTTGTCTTGTGTGTTACTGTTTTGTATTGTGCCGTCTAAAAGTGTTTTTCATAAGAATGAGAATCATAGGGTAGAATACAGGCATAGGTTTTATAAATCTGTAGTCTGAGCTGGCCTCATAGGCCAGTGAGTTTGCGATTCTCGCTGGACTGCTGTTCACTTGGACGAACTTTTCTGTGAGTCACCTCTAAAACTGGATGAGGCCCTCCTCCCATCTTGATTTTGCGTTCTGAGAGCTTGGCCTAGCTCCAGAAAGAGCATTCTCTCTAATTTTCTGCCTGCTGGAGGTGCAGATTATAGGGTCTGTGCCTGCATGAGGCTGACTGTCAGGTCAGGGTTCTGAGACACGAGGTACCATTATCAGCTCTCAGGGAATTGTCTAATCTAAAACCTTTCCTATCTCACTGCCTTTGTAGTGTTGAGATTCCTTTCTCAGTATTACCCATCCGGAATCATGGATTAGATGGTTCCTGATTAGAGGTGTCTCCCTTTTGTGCGAGACTGGAGTACCATTCTTACTGCCGGTAGCAACTTGTTCTCCTTCTTTCCAGCTATATTTGGGAGTGACTTTGGATTACGGAGGCTGCATTTTCTGTGCCCTCTTCAGGGACACCTCTTGTGTACATAGTTAAATCGTATTCTAAGCCTGGAAGGTTACCTCCAGGTCTTCCCAAAAAGAGACTTATTGGTTTGTGTTACATTTGAACAGGTATACTTATGCAGGTCCTAAGTGTCGGTGGCCAGACAATGGGTCCTATGATTTATAAAACTTTCATATTTAAGGGGATTTATAGAGAGCTCTCATCCTAAACAAATACCCTCTTGGTACCTCTGGGAGGATCAAATTGAAAGCAGGTCACAAAAATGTATTACGGCTGGCTTAAAAGATTCCCTTAACAAAAGAAAACAGCAGAAGTCAGACTTAGGACAAAAATTTAAGTTCACCATAAATTCTCCTCTGCCTCCCTCCTATACTCACCTTTAGCCCCAGTTCCCTGTTCCTGACCCCCCAGAAGATCTTTTAGATCTCTGGGCCCCTGTCCCAAATCTACGTGCTTCCAAGCCCAGCCCCACTTCTTCAACCAATTCTTTTAATCCCCCAAACTTCTCTGGCTTCCCCAGAAAATCTCTTGACCACCTAACACCTGCTTTAACCTCTCTTTCCTTACAACAGTTATAGGAGGCTTTTAAAACTGACCTCAAAACATGAGGCAGTCAAGTCATTCATGTGACTAGTGTCAACCAAGAAGTAGCTCTAGCTGAAGCCCCAGAGATGCACAGCAAGGCTCATTTTACCAATCCCTTTTGATTCCACCTACTTTCGGTGACTCTGTAATCAGGTCTAAAACAATCAGGCCCAACCAGCCTCAAGCCTTCCTATGAAATCCCCATTATGCAGGTTCCCTGTATCCCCACCATAAAGAATTCATGAACCCTGTACAGCAGCTGACCTTCTAAATTACAAAACCCTTTTCACCCCCACTTTCTGGAGATCCTACTGCATCCAGAGAAGAACTAGCAATAGAAAGATGGGTGGTCATCCACAATCCCACTCATAGGGCTACCAAAGAGTGTCCTTCCCACCTCTGATTATATTAGAGTCATATGACAAGCCAGGTGGCCCCCTGGAGAAAATCCTCTTCACTGAGTATACAAACAGCCAGACCCTCTCCCAGGCCCTCCTCCAAATGATCAAGAAATGGCCCAATTGGAGCCATTTCTTGGCTGATATTTAGGACTTGATAGGAGCCAGAGAAGACTTCCCTTCAAAAGTTAAGTGGGCTAAAGTAGAACTAGGCACTCGGAAGGAAGGAGAGTATTCTAAAGCCTTTGTGGAATGCAGTACACAGATATTCCAAAGACACAACTGACCTAAATCCAGAGGCCTCAGAAAATAGAAATCTTTGAATTTATTTCTTAATTGAAAATCTCTGATACAAAGAAACACGTCTAAAATAATGTAGCTGGATGAGCAGGCAAGTCTCTGTCCTCCCAGAGGAATGGAGACTCTCATGCACTCCTACTGCAGTGTGTGTTTACATGTTATATATATGTTATATATATATATGTTATATATATATATTATAATGTTATCTTGAAATTACCTGTCGAGCTATGCTAGTAGACCACATGCTCCTTGAATGTTGGGACCACACTCTTTCAGTGATGTAACCTCAGCACCAAAATCTCTGTTTAGAATGATATTCATTCATTGTTGATTGGTTTGCTTAATAAAAATTCCCAGCAGGAAATGAACAGAACCTGGACAAATTCACAATGAGGAGTTAATAACCACTTAGAAACAAAGTGAAGGAAATTGTCTAGAGTAACTCCCAGGGTTTTGATTGGCATGCAGGAGAGTCTGCAATGTTTCACTTGTGATTGACTTGGAGGTGGAATAAAATAATGAAGATACTTTCAGCCTGGGATAGGTGGCTGAGATGAGGGTTATTTTTCTATCCAGGATATTACCATTTTTCTCATTTAAAAATAGAAGCAAAGACATTAATTATTAGGATTCAGCTAGTGTGCTGGACTGATCAACAGTATGCATCTAAAAATGTTTTCATTTATTAAGCTCCTCAAGCAAGGTCAAGTAGCTGTGCCAATTATTGTAAGATCCAGGTTCCTTGCAGTAGATACTATACAGGCTTTTTGGGCTCAATCCTTCCCAGGGTTTATAACACAGGAAATATATTAGTATCCTTACCTACTGGTTATATTCTCTAATTACAATGCAAGTAGCTTGTGTGTTTCTTAATCAATACATAACCTGTTGATAATGTAACAAGGTAGTACTGGAAGCGCAAAAGTAAGTTTTACCAGGAACCAGATAATAGATCACTTGTCTCACTTGCTAAGGGAGTTTCTGCATGTACATGAAGTAATTTTTGCAGGCTGGGCATGATTGGGAATAAAGAGACTTAGCCCACAGTCAGTTGGGGTGACATGTGACCTCACAGATCTCATCCTGATTGGGCAGAAAAACATCATCACTAACCACTTCAGCAAATATTGCTTAGTGCAGACTGGAGAGGCTGTGCTCACTGAACTTTTGTGGGCTTGAGGTATCGAGGTAGATATCATCTTTGTTAAAAAGAGGTTTTTCTGAGCTTTCTGAAGTTAAATGTGATTTCTATAGAGATTTATATATTATGCTCATTTTTCACCAACATCACACCCATGCTATCAATTTACTTTTCTTGATGGTAAGTAAATTAATGAGAGACAAACTCGATTCTGATTTAACTAGCTTTACTGGGATGTACAGAAACAGAAAACAGTGGTAGGATATGGACACTCTAAAGCTCCTGAGCTTTCAACACAGACCAGAGTGGCTGCAGTTGGTGTGCCATCGGTTCTTTAGGATGATATTATAGGAGCCAACTCTACTCCTCCAGCCTTCTGCCCCTTCCTAGAGAGAGGGAAGGCTGGGAACCAAACAGCCAAGTCATCCTTGGGGAATAGCTACTGAAATCACATCTGCCACAGGCCACATCTACCCTAAGGGAGAATACACCCAGCTCTTAAATATATTTAAATTGAGATGAAGCTGAACAACCAGTGTCACATCTATCTTTTCATTTTGTTCACCATCCTGATAAATGGGCCTATTTTCATTTCTCTAAGTGCCTGACATCAAGAGTGCTTCCTTACCACTGAAGCATGCAAGTGGGCTAAGACGGACTGAACAGCTCTCTGTTAAGTCATTGAAACGAGGTCAACAATTGTCGAAACCCTCCAGCAACTGGTCCATAGTAGAATATTGGCCCAAGCTGGTCAAAGAAGAAAATATCTGGAGAGAAAAAAATTAGGGTAAAATTGAAAGTGTTGAATTGCAGTGCTAATGAGACACCCAGGTGGGTATACTCTGTAGGCACAGGAGAAAATGGTCTGGGGATGCCGCTTTGGATGTTCTGGCAAGAGGGAGAGATCTCACTCTCTAATCACCCATCAGTTATTATTTTAGCAATACAAAGGAAGGGGTTGACTACATATCAGTGTACAATGCCCCAGCACGTGGACGGTGCTAAAGGAATGGTAATAATTCTTAACGCTGTTTCTTTCATTAAACTGTTACCAAAAACATTTTTACATCAGAATTTTATAATAATCATGTAACAATAAATTAGTTATTATCTTATTATAGCCGCATTCAATGCTAATATTTCAAAGGTTATATACTTGTTTTAACAGCAATACATTTGAAACCATACCTCAGGACGTGTCATTTCAGCAAAGATTTCAGGGTGTGTTCTGCATTCATCTTTTTGACCGAGTTTAAATGTAATTTCCGTCTTGTTCTTCAACTGCCTTGTTTTTCAGTATTACAGAAACTCATTTACAAAATAAAGTAGTGAATGTGAGAATAAAAAGATGATTGTTCACAAATTCCAAGCTTCTAGCATTTGAAGCAGAATGTGTACACATATACTTAAATAAGTAGATTTTGAGAGTGGAGAATTAAAATTGGAAAGATAATTTAAATACTGAAGGAAAATAATTTAAATAATTTTTAACTCAAAGATATAACATTGGGAAAATTGATAATTTAAAATAATATAGGATTGTAGATGATATTAACCTTTTTAAGGAAAGTTTTATATTTTCTAATAACAAAATACAAAAGTGCTCAGTAAGTGACTTTTGATTAATATTTTAGTGCAAGTTCATTATAATACTAAAATATAACAACTCAAAGAGCATTTCTTGTTAACAACACCATTACAAATACAAAAAGCACACTATATTATTTTTAAGTTTTTGTCATTCAAGACAAAAACTGAATAGCAAATCAGAGGTCATATTATTATATATTTCAAAGAAGACAAGAAAGCCATGGAATTGGTCATTTAGTGGAATACAGAGTTTTCTTTTCTTTTAAGAGAATGAAGACCAGTGTAGATACATTTCATTAGAATGTAAATACTAGTGCCTTTTTTTCTTACACTTTCGGAAATTTTGGCTATATTCATTTCCTCTATTGTTTTCTGTGCTACTATCACTATCACTGGTTTGTTTTTGCCTCTTGCGTTTATTCATCTGATAAAGGTCAGAGTCACTTGGTTGTTGGTGTGCCCATTCATAAGAGCTGGGTCCAGCCTCTAGATCTGGAACACAATTCAGTGAGGAAGACACAGAAGTGCTATTAGGAAGTGGTGCTGTCATCTCATAGTAAGGAAGCTGCAGTGCTGGATTATATGCATGCCACTGCTGTGGAAAAAACCCACAAACATTCATCTACCAAAACAAGCCCACAAAGTTAGGAAAAAAGAGTTAACAGTTTACATTCATTACACAAATAACTACAGGCAAACCAAACCATGTGTTGGTATAAGAAGGACAGTGACTTTTCATACTAGGGATATGGTAGTTTCCTTAAATGGTTAACATAAAGATTCAAGGTAGTGTATAGCTTACTACAATACAGATTAGTGCTGTCCTATCGAAATATAATGTAAGCCACGTATGTAGTTTTAAGTCTTCTAGTAGCCACAATATGAAAATAAAAATGAAACAGGGGTTTCCCTGGTGGCACAGTGGTTGAGAGTCCGCCTGCCGATGCAGAGGACACGGGTTTGTGCCCCGGTCCGGGAGGATCCCCCATGCCGCGGAGCGGCTGGGCCCGTGGGCCATGGCCGCTGAGCCTGTGCGTCCGGAGCCTGTGCTCCGCAACGGGAGAGGCCACAACAGTGAGAGGCCCGCGTACCGCAAAAAAAAAAAAAAAAAAAAAAAGAAACTGGTGCAATTAAATAATGTAATTTATTTATCCCCAAATATCCAAAATATTATCATTTCAACAAGTAACCAATATAAAAATTGTTAATGATATATTTTACTTTTTTTATACTAAGTCTTTGAAATTTGGTGTGCCTTTTATAGAGTATTTAATTTGGATGGTAAATTTTCATTGAAAATACTTCATCTGAATTTAGATTACATAAAATTTAGTTGAAAAAGTAGATATACTACCCAAGTTCTTTCAAACATACTTAAAAGTTTTACAATAACTGAATCAAGTCTCTGTTTTTAAATTTAAATTAATTAAAATTAAAAAAAAATTAAAACTCAGCTCCTTATGGATGGCTGATGGCCACCATATTATACAGCAGTTTTCAATTGTTAAGATAGACACTTCCTTGTTTTTAACATAGTTTTTAACTCAAAGTAGATTAAAGATTAATAGAGATAACATGATCTTGTGTGTGTGTGTGTGTGTGTGTGTGTGTGTGTGTGTGTGTGTGTATTTCTCATCTCATCAAAGATTAAAAAAATGCCAGAAAGAAGATATTGACAGTTTTAGACAAGAACTGGCAGTTTATTAATATCTCACTATAACTAAGAAAAGATTTTTCTAAAGGTTAAATTATCAATTTTCCTTATGGTTGCAAAGTGAAAATGGCTATTTGAAAAATCTGAAGCTCACAGGTATGTGGGATGTTTGCAAGAAATCACATCCTGTGAATCAGAATACCTGTGTTATAGTCCCACATCTTTTATTAACAAGTTGTATAATCTTGGGCTTGTTGATTAATACCTCTGAACCTCAATTTTATTATGTATAAAATGAGGAGTTAGAAGAAAAAGATTTCATAAGTTCCCCGTTAACAATATAGACCATCATTATGATTTCTAGGCCAGAACCATATTTTTGAGAGTCTTCGGAAATAATGTAGTTTACTCTACCAGTTGAGAATCTTTGCCTTTAGTTAAAAGAAGAAATTTATTTTTAAAAATATCCATGTCCAAAAGCAATATATTTGTAATTGATGATTACATTTTACCAAAATGTTTCACTAAATAAAATTATTCGATTCTAAAAACGTATCTTCTAAAATAGTCATTTTTTTCCACTTTTTTTATTGGAGTATAATTGCTTTACAATGCTGTGTTAGTTTCTGCTGTACAGTGAAGTCAATCAGCTATATGTATACATACACCCCCTACCTCTTGGACCTTCCTTCCCCTCCATCCCACCCATCTAGGTCATCACAGAGCACCAAGCTGAGCTCCCTGTGCTATACAGAAGGTTCCCACTAGCTATCTATTTTACACGTGGTACTGTATTTATGTCAAACCTAATCTCCCAATTGATCCCACCCTCTCCTTCCCGCTCTGTGTCCATGTGTCCATTCTCTACGTTTGCATTTCTATTCCTGCCCTGCAAATAGGTTTATCTGTACCATTTTTCTAGATTCCACATATATGCGTTAATATACGACATTTGTTTTTCTCTTTCTGACTTACTTCACTCTGTATGACAGACTCTAGGTCCATCCACATATCTACAAATGACCCAGTTTCATTTCCTTTTATGGCTGAGTAATATTCCATTGTATATATGTGCCACATCTTCTTTACCCATTCATCTGTCGATGCACATTTAGGTTGTTTCTATGTCCTGGCTATTGTAAATAGCGCTGCAATGAACACTGGGGTACATGGGTTATGGGTGTATGCCCAGTAGTGGGATTTCTGGGTCATATTCTATTTTTAGTTCTATTTTTAGTTTATTTATTTTAGTTCTATTTTTTAGTTTTTTAAGGAATCTCCATACTGTTTTATACAGTGGCTTTATCAATTTAAATGAGAACTCTATAGTCAAATTTTACTTGTACCACAGTGAATCATCCCTAGCACCTGCTCCTTTTCTGTTGACACACTGGCTGTTTGCTTACGTACCATGTGTAGGATTTCAGATGATTGCGTTAGAGCAGACTGCCATTGGGGCATAGAACTCAGGGCAGCTGCTGCCTTCATTCTAGGTTTAGATTTGAGCAGCTTAAGTTCCAAGTAGTTTTCATGTTCTTTATAGTTTGTATCAATGCTATATATTGAACCAAAGGCATATCAAACTTACCATCTTCGGAAAGAAAAGATATTCCTGAGGTAAAGCTGCATTATTAATTGGAGAGAACTGCATGGGAAAGGAAGTTCTGCCCACGACTTCTTCATTTCTTGGGGGACGTAAAAGAAGTAACACAAAGTTACAATTCCTATGCATAAATGTCCTTTATTCTTATAATAAGATAGGTCTTCATAATTTTTTAAAAAAAGAGCTTTTCTAAAAGAACTCAATTAAGATAGCTTTAAACACACGATCATTATTACACTGATAATGTAGTGACACTGCAGTACCACAAGTCTTACTAATTACTACATATTGAAAGCTCAATATTTAGAGTCACATTTGGCTTTCTGATAGGAAAATGTTAATCAATGTTATAGTTGTATAAAGACAAAGAACACTTAGATATGAAGAAAGCAAAGCAAGTCCTTAATAATCACCAAAGGTACATTCAATCTTCTACAAAAAAAAAAAGCGAAAGAAAGGTAGAAATTTTCTCAATTTATTTTTGAAGGAATGTTCACTGTATAACTACAAAAATTATGTTCTTTCCTAAATGGTCTGCTGATGTTAACATGAACACATAATATCTGCTGATTTCTTCCACACACTACTTAAAACAATACCAATCCCTAATTTAAAAGCAGTAGTGTCCTGAAGTTTTATTTATACATGTAATATTTGCTTCTATGGAGATGTCTAATAAATTCCAATGGTATGCATAGTGACTAGACTCTACAGCTAGTCATTAGCCTACTTGCTCCATAGTATTCCACAATTTTAATGCTAATACTACTAATCTTAGGACAGGAAGTTTACTGTGGGGAAGGGTGAAATTAATACAGGCAGGTGGAGGCAAAGGCAAAGGCAGGAGAACAAAGGGAAGCAGTCAGATTGATAGGCATTGGTAAGTGGTGAGAGTAGTATCACAGAAGCCAGTGGAAGATGCATTTCATTAAGGAAATACTTAGTGTCGGGTGTTATAGAACAGTAAACTGGGTAAGCACCAAAGCTACTCAATTGTTGATCAGAAGGTTCCTGATAACCTTTAAAAGAACAACTTCCACATAACAACGGGGTTAAGAAGTGAATAGGAGGTAAGGATGTGAAAGATAATTTTTCTGTGAGAGGAAGGGGAAAAATAAAACAGCATGATTTGGAGGTAGAGTTCAAGGACTTTGGAACATGTGTGTGGGGTAAGTGATGGAAAAGAAACAAGATAAAAAGTGCAATGAAGTTATAGAGTGGGGAAGATACAACCCAGTAACAGGGGTGGTGAGATTAGCACAGTTATGAAAACAGCTGCCGACTTTCTAAAACCATTACCTTTCCTATATGAATCTCAGGGCATGCATAGTTGTCTCCACAGAGGAATCACATGTAAATTGGGAAGAGCTGTGAGTTGAACCATGTCAACTCAAAATTTACATGTTGAAGTCCTAACTCCCAATACTTCAGAATGTGACCTTATTTGGAAATAGCATTGTTGCAGATGTAATTAGCTAAGAGGAGGTCATACTGGAGTAGGATGGGTTAAACAGGTACCCTTATTATAATCAAAAGGGGAAATTTGGAGACGGATGCACACAGGGAGAACACCATATGAAGATGAAGATGGATAGCCGGGTGATGCTTGTACAAGCCAAGGAATATCAAAGATTGCCAACAAACCGGGACAAGCTATGAGAGAGGCCCAGAACAGACTCCTTCTCACAGCCCTCATAAAGAAATCTAGCAGACACCTTGATCTTGGACTTTGAGGCTTCAGAACTGTGAGACAATTCATTTCTGTGTTTAAGCACTCTGTTTGCAGTATTTTTTATGGTAGCCTTAGCACGCTAATACAGGCACTATTTATTAAAAACAGAACTATTTATTGCCTAAGAGTCAATAACAAGCATAAAAACCCATTTCCAAGAAAGACTATAGGGTATAACAAGTGCACCATTTTTCTCTGCACAACACTTCTAGAACATGATGACCTTCTCCCATTCTTCCTTTATAATGTAGCACACACTAGAAGAATAAGGTACAACCAGTGAAGTGGAGTATTATGGAATATACACATATTTCTGATCTTCTACTCTAGAATTTGTGATGATTAAAAGTACATCAATCATAAGTAGAGAATGCGAGTTACTGCCATCTTCTAGCTGTTTATCTAGTCTTTCTTCTTCTGCCCCAAACCTAGCAATAGCTGTTTTTTCCAAAATCCTGAGAAAAAAGAGGTATCTTTTCCCACTAGAAGAAGAGGGGAAGCTTTTATATTACATAAACGGCTCAATTCATGAGTCCATAGTTCCTCTCATATGAAGGAAGTGAATCACTACCCCTTTTTGCTAACATTTGCTGAAAGTATTTACTGGATGCTTGCTATGTGCACAGTATTTTAAATACCTTGAATTTATTATAAAATTTGATTCTCACAATAACCTTCTGAAGTACTATCCTCATTTTAGAGATGGGCTACAGGGTGATAATCTGTCCAAGGTTAATAAAGTGGCAGAGGCAGGATTCAAATTCAGGCAGTCTGGTTTCAGTACCTATTTTGTCTTTATTTCACTGATACAGAAATGTTGGGGAGAATGAAGACATGGAGAACACCGTGTTATACTTGGAGTGCAGTACTTCTCCTAAAGATAAGACTGGGAAATTGTCAGTTCTAAGAGGCCACTCTTCCATGCCTAGGAGGGCTGATATAATTAGCAGGCATGGGAGGTTCAGCTGTTGTTAGCCTACTGGAGAATACTCAGTTCTGCTACAGAAAACAAGAAAAAAATAGGGATGGATGAAACTCACAAGAAATGCTTAGGGTAGCCTTTAAGTAAGCTACACTGATGCAGCTGATGCAGCAGAGAGAGAAACAGGGTCTACGAATATTAGTGTAGCCAGAACTCAGCTAATACGAGTTTATGAGATAGCAATGAAACCATGTTAGAAACAGAATAAGCAAGTGGCTTGGGAGACACAGGCAGAATTCATAATATATATTAAATACGCATAATAAATAAGTTAGTGTGTTTTAAGAGATGCCACAGATAGATCCGATAGAAAATATGATGGAACAAATAAGATTGTTACTCATAGAAAGAAAGGGAAGGAAATACCTAGTACTTATCATGGCACCTATGGGCTAACAGTTTTGCTGCTCTTGTTTTTGTTCTGCCTAAGAAACTCAGATAGAACCTGTGAGCATCTAGTTCCTTCTGTAGCCAGGTGTATTTGCCCCTATGTCTTTTTGAGAGAGCAAGTGAGTGAAACTAGCTCCGGGAACTTTCTATCTGAATGGAATTCGTTACTCAAACCTCAACTCTAGGGTTCATGACCACACTATCAGTGGGAAAGGTTGATGCAGCAGAGAGAGAAACAGGGCATATGAATATTAGTGTAATCAGAACTCAGCTAGTATGCTCCTTTTGCCCATTTATGCTAACTATCCACTATCTTTCCTTTTGCTTTTCACTATCCAGTATCTTTCCTTTTGCTTTTGACTGTATCTTTTAAATTGTTTTACTAAATGCTGTTATTTGAGCATCTTATTTGGTTTGGGAGACTTTCTGTTCGACGACCTTTGGGATAGCTGCACTGAGAGTGTCCTTGCAGGCTACCATTGCATCGAGAAATCAGCCTACGGAAAACTTGAGAATATTTTGAAAATTACCATAGAGAAGTTTTTAAAAATAGTAACATAAACGGTAGAGTGGCTTAACGTCAGAAGGCTTAATTTTAAGCCTAGCAACTATCACTTTTTCATCTTTGTGCCCTTGGCAATTAGTTAACTTTTGCATCTCTATGTTTATTCAAGTATAAAATATGGATAATAGTGTCTCTGTGATCCATCACAATGAGACTTTGGATGCTTAAGTGATTTAACAGTTATGAAAAGTACGCAGTAACCTATAAAGAATGCCACAAATATATATCTCTCCCACCTACTGCAGAAAATATTGACTGAACTTTAAATGAAAATATTTTCTGTCACTTTTCATGTTTTCAGGAAAAATGAATTCCTTAATATTATCCTATGTCTAAACAGTAAGGTTTTACAGTAGTCCAGAATATATAAAAACCTTTCCTGGCGTGAGACCATATTTATTTGCTTTACCTTTATGAAAAAAATATTTTTAATTACCTGTAGCTGTGTGAATTTATCTTAACACAGCTCTCAAAACTTTGGTTAGCTGGATCACAAGAGCGAGAGCTCCCTTTAAAAGAAACAGAATAACAGATTACTTCATGGTACAAGTTTCTGGAGTTCTCACATTAAACCATTTAAAAAAATTCCATATAAGATACATGAATATATCTTTGATCTCCCAATATTCATAGGTTGTTTACATCACTATAAATGACTGAATTATAACCAAGCTTTGTCCAAAGCAATGGGTGTAGAAAAGAATTATGTTGACATGGGGCCATATAAGACAGGTGATGCTATTTGGTTCTACACACCTGGAAACTAAAAATGTCAAATACACACCTGGAAACTAAAAATGGCAAATAATCAGTGTTATTTGCCTCCTGTTTTGAAGGCATGAGTTCGCTAAACTGTACTGACAAAAGTGAATGCAACCTGACAGGATAATGAGCAGCTGGCTGGGGATGTGTCAGAACACGATATGGCCTGGCCCGTTTTACCAGTCAGTATGAGTTAACGGGACAGTACGTGAGAGCATGATGCAACCAATTAATTATCTTTGCAAAGACAAAATAAAACAAAACGAAATGCAAAGTTATGCTTTTCCTTTGCAAAAAGGCATTGTTTCCTTATTCTTATTTATTTTTTTTAGTACAGCAAGAAGAATAAAAACCAAACAAACAAGAGATACATCAATAAACCTGAATCATTAGGGGAGGTAGGCAACATAAGCATTGCAAACATTGCAGCAAAAGCATAAGCATTGCTTCTATCAGTACCTCAAACTATGAAAGGGCTAGAGCAATAGTACAATGTTCTCTGGGCATCTAATCAAAGATGATCAGTTCTTGACATGTAGCAGGAGAAGGCGTTTGAGGCCGTTCATGTCAGGAAGCTTTCTTCCATTAAGGGTCAGCCTTTGGCCAGCTGCTTTTACGGGGACTCAGATCCAGGGTGATATGTATAACATGATAACACCAGGAGAAGAACTAGGCACCCACCTTATCTTCCAAATAGTAGATATTTGACACCATTGACAAGAAGATCAGCAAATAGCATTGCTATATAGAAGCTAGAGTTGTGTGTCCCCAGTTCATTTAGATTTGTTTAATTCTTAACAGCCAATAGCAACTATCATAGCTATTTGCTGGCTGACATTAAAATAGAACATTTAAAATTTTAATACACAAAAGATGCTATAGAGTTGGCAACCTAATTGGTAATATTAACTAATTGAATAACATTATGAATGTGTTCTGAGAAATTTTAAGAGACTACAGGGGCACTGTTTTGGTCTTAGGCTATAATATAAAAAACAAAAATGTTTACACCTCTGGGAACAGCACCACCAACAAAACACACTTAGAAGATTCATCAGTGACAAAACCTACCAAATCGATACTGCACATTAATTGGTCTTCCATATAAACGAATTCCATTCAGCAAAGCTATGGCATAAGACACTGATTCTGGGTGTTTAAAGCAGACAAACCCAAAAGACTTCGGCTTTCCTTCTCTGTCTTTGCAGATAGTCACTTTGGTTAATGGCCCAGCCTGTAAGAAACTTAAAAATTATTTTCTCATAAATCTAAAGATTTTTTTTACACTGAGAAAATCAAGTATACTCAACTTCAGACTAAAAAAAAATCTGTTAGCAATAACAGCTCTGTTAATAATGTATTTCCCTAACAATAAATATCATACTTACACTTTCTTGGCATTTTTCTGGCTCATCAAAAAATATTTATGGTGTTAAGATCAGGAAATTTTAGGTAATAGTTCCAAATCTTAAAAGGAAAGATATGTTACCCTTATGTTAGGCCTAACAAAACAATTTAGAGTGCATTTAAATCTAAGGTTAAAATACTACTTTGTCTCCACACATATTAACAGTGTATAACTCAAAAATAATTGAAATGACAAACCCAATATTCTTTGACTTATCATAAAGAAACTGGTAACATTACATCAAAGCCTAATTTTTTCTGACAAAATTAAACATTTTCACAGGAGAAACTAAATTTTTGATCTATATAGAAACTATTTTGATCTGGTAATCCCATTTGGTAAATATTCCCAAAGGGAAAAATATTTTAATATGTTTAACACTTTTAGGTAGGTGCATTATTTATAAGAATGAAAAATGAGGAAGGCTCTAAGTCCAACAACAGGAGAATATTACTCCATGGTGTATCATTAAACTAGAATAAAATAAAATAAATTGAAAATATTCAGATTTTATTGATAATAAAACCTATAATTAGCAATACAGAGTAAAAAAGCAGAGCCAACTATTGTAAAATGTGTTAATTACAACCAAAAGAATGTTACCTCTCCACCATGATAGTGATTTGAGGAAGTGCTCACCAAGACTCACAATAGCTAAGAGTTAATGGTGAATGGCTCATAGTTTTCCATTGTACTTTAATGATTGATTACTGATGTCTGTTGAGTTGGATAAGTACATTAAGAAATTGTTTCTAGTCTAAAGAAAAATGTTAATTATCATCTTCAAAATGATGCTGTATTTTAAGATTCAATCTTTCTTTTTTTATTCTCTACTTTCCCAGAGAGTAGCTCATCCTCCCTTCTGTCTTCAAGAGCCACTGCATCAACAAATCTATTTTTCCCACTCATGCCTCATTCATGGAGACAGTCTCCTAGAGACCTCCATGTGATTGTGCTTCAAACTCAACATATTTGAAACTGAATTCATTATCTTTCCCCTTGAAATCTCTACTTCAGTATTTCTTGGTTAAAAGTACAAAGATATTGAAACTGATGTCCACTCTTCCAAGGATAAGCAGAAATTTGAAAGAAACCAGTAAAAAGGATAACTATATATAGTAATAAAATAAATCAATTTTAATCAGTACTTTTCCACTGCTGATATTAAATATATAAAATCGCGAATGGACAGAATGTGCTTACATGCTTTGAGTTTCACAAATTCAAAACTATGCCCGTGCATTTTTAAAGTCCAACAAGAAGGCTTGCCAGTAGCAACAATCACATCAAAACTTTTTAGTCTCTTTAAAACAGAATGAAACACATAAACAGTGTGGCCAGTTGTCAAGATCTGCTAACTTCTGCTGGGTTGAAGCCTTCCTAAAAGATACCTCACTTCAGCAAATTCTTCTAGAATACAGAAGGGCTTAGGCAAAAATACAAACGTATGCTTGGTTGTCTGAACTGTTAAAAGAGATGAATATTTTGTTTAGGGAGAAATTATAAGCAATGAGATCTACCTATCTATCTTGTAGATCCACATACAACTGATATAGATCCAGTCCCTACTGACTAGAAATAATATATGTGCATGGGGGCCTTCATGCCTATCCCATTCCCCTCATCAGTCCCCTCTGCTCCTTTTTTGTTGGCTCAACATGAAAGAAGACTCCTGGAGAAAAAGAACTAGTTTTCTTTCTCTCTCTCTCCCCCTCCTTCCCTCCCTTCCTCCCTCTCTCCCTACCTTCCTTCCCCCCACTTTTTTTTAAGTTAAAATGATAAGTTTCAAGTAATACGGGGAGAAAAACATAACCATAGGAAAAGACAAGTATTAGAGTAGATTAAAAAGGGCGAGTTTAAAAAAGACGGCAAGTTAGAAGAATAAAAGCCTTAAAATCAACAATATTTTTCAAATAATAAAAATGTTTTATGTCCAGGAAAGGTAACTGAGTTCCTGGAGGAAATTCTATCAAATTGTGTGTATCTGTAATTAACAGAGGGGTGCTTTAGTTCAGAGATGAAGGTAGAGTCTTTCAGAAACTATATAAAGAACGCCTTTCACCTCTGGTACTCATACTTAGCCTTTGATATTTAGTTTTGCTATTGCTCCCTTTGAACTTGCCCTTATTCTGATAGGAGGAAGTCACTCTTGATTTCTCTTGATGTTAGTATCAGTAGTATTATTGATAGTAATAGTAGTGATATGAGTAGTGGCAGCAGCAGCAAACACTTAGTAAGGGCCAGGTTCAGTTTTGTTTTATCTGGATTAGTTTATTCAATCTTCACACCACATCATATTGTGGATACTATTACTCCCATTGACATTTGAGGAAACTGGGCACTGAGCTATTCATTTAGTTGGCCAAAGTCACATTGTTGACATCAGAATTCACACTCTAAACAACTTTTCTGTACTATGTGTCCCTCTTTTTTGCAGATTATCTTAAATCATGGTAATTAATTTGAAATTTCTCCTTTTAGGAAGACCAAGGGCTGTCTCTTAAATTTGTATGTCCAGCACCTTACTTACTGTTTGTCACATAATTGTGGATCATTAAATGGTTAAATGAATGGCTGAATGAAGACCTCTCTTTAGCAAGTGAGGCCTATGTGTATACAGTAGGTGAGTGTTTACAGGAGACAGGAGTTTTAATCCTGGAGGTACCAGGTGTGGAAAAGTTTTCATAAGATCCTCTTGGTATGAAATAAAGGGAACTGGCCAGGGAATCAATTGGTCACAGTCACGATTTGGCTGCCCAAATCATTTCAAATCTCATTTATCATTCTGGAGTAAAAATACTTGCCGTGTAAAAGGGCTTGGGGGGAATAAGTAATGTATATGGAAACATGTTAAAATGTATTCCTCTCATTTCGCGGGATGTAAGACGTGAGGTGCTTATTACCTGAAGCAAGGCAGCGACAGGGCTGTTTTGTGTTTTGCCTAAACACACCCAAGGCCCAGGCAGCGCCTCTGAAAAGCCCTTACTCAGGGCTGGGGGTTGAAGAGGGCCCAGTCACTGCTCACCCCAGGACTCTGCAGTGGGGATGGGATGCGGAAGGGATGGGGAAGGGGCGCACTCTGTCACTTCACTACCCAGTTGCTCACCTGGTGACAGGTGCGCCAAAGCGGAACTAAATTAAAACCAAGGCACAGGATGGGGCGGGAAGTGGGCCGGGCTCCGGATGGTTCAGGTGCGGCCCGCCCCTCTGGCTGCGTTTCCGGCTCGACGCGCCCTGCCCCTCAGCCACCCCTTCCCCGCCGACAGTACCTGAAGGAACAGCTCGTAAAGAATCTCTTCCCGCACTCGGGCCTCTAAATTTCCCACAAACACCGTTCTGTCGGCTTCCTCCTGAGCAGGGAACATGCCTTCGCCTCGGCCCAAGAACGGAGGAGGCCTCGAGACCACGACCCCTCGTCTCGAGACCACGACCCTTCTCCTCAGCCGCGGAGCCGGCTACGAGAATAAGCGCGCAAGGGGCGGAGCGAGGCTGCGGCGCCACGCCCCCAGCACCCCGTGGTAACCGCCCAGCGCGCCTTCGCCACGCCCCGGATCCGGCTGGGACCTTGGGAGAGTGAGTGACAATAAGTAAGATTAGTGTGCAAGGGGCGTTGACCTCTTGCTTATGGAGGTTCCTTCATTTAACAGGGCACGACATTATGAATTGATTTTGGATTTATTCAACAAACATTTTAAATAAAATGACTATAGAGGTGATTTAAAACATACTAACTTCATTACAGAAGCTCCCAGGCTAAGGGGGAAGACTAATTTCTTTGTTTCCAAAGAGTAAATGAATAAATCATTGGGATTTGAAATTTGTATTCTTCATAAAATACTTTTTGAAAGAGTGAGTGCATGCATGCATGCATGGATGTGGATACAGTAGAGTACTAGAATTAGTTTATATACCTAGGAAGCGGTCCCTAGTGAAGTCTTTGAAAATGGACACAGGTTTTAAGTGGACTGCAGAAGGCATTTGAACTTGAGAAAACAAACTATACCAAGGCATACTGGAAAGAATATAGCAAGTTTTGTTACTGAAGCCAGAATTCTTGAGGATGGCTGCTGGGTGATTGTGGTAGGATCCAATATTTGTATTTTGTATTTTGTATCAGGGCTGTACTTTGTAAGCTGTGGGACCAGGGTGAAGAATTAATTCTTACTTGAAGATTGAAAAAAAAATCCTAAAAACAATAAAGATAATTAAAAGAAAGGAGGAAGAAAACTTACTCAGAATCTCAGTGCTTTGATAAATTAACTGTCAACTGTTAACTTGGCTTCCTTTCTGACATGATATGTCTACATAGGACCCTGAAATCATCCTGTAAATATCATGCAAGTAATCACTATTTGGCCTTTACTTAGGTGTGGTGATCATTCATTTTTAATTGAAAAGGTATTCTTTTACATGGTTACTGGACCAAAGAAATCATCTTTTCTAATGAAAAGGGACACATCTTTAGAATCCTGATTTCTAACTGAACTCTGACAATACTTAATTTTATGACTTTAAGCAAGTAATTTCACTTTTTGAAATTCAAGTTCTGTTTCTTAAGGAACAGATTGGACTAATATAATTACCTCATTTAATAGATATTTTCTGAGTGCTTATTATGTGCCAGGCACTGTTTTTAATCCTTGGGAAACAAAGGTGAGTATAAAGATCTGCCCTCCTAAACCGTACAGTGTAATGGGAGAAACAGACTTCTTGAACATATAAATATAAAATCATGTGTCAGTAACTTTCACTAGTTACCTTTGGTTGATATATTATGAATCTATAAGTCCTGTCTTCATTTCTTCTTTCTTTCTTCTATCATCAATATTGTTGTAGTAGGGTAGGAGGGGGTTGAGAAAACTTGCACGTTGTAGGCATGTAACAAATATATGTTGATCAAATGAGTGGATACTTGCAGGTCTGTATTATGTGTAGACCTATTTATTTTTAAAATTCATTTACCCCATAAATTTTATCCAGACCAAGATATTTTCTCTTTAACTTCCCCTCAGACACTACTTATCTGGGAGCTGTAACTTCAGGTTTCATTGTAAAATATGTAGTGCATATAAGTCATGAGCATATTTTCTTGCTGGATTGAAATTTGCATCATTCTTTGTCTACAGTGTGTATGATTTTGGTGTTCTTATCACATCCTCTTTTCTTTTGGCAGTACATAAGTTTATGGCCCATGTAGTACTTCTAGAGTAATTATTTAATGTTTTAAGCTCTGAAGGTCAGCTCAATGCAGTTAGCTGTTTGCTTAGAATTTGACCTCTCTCTCTCTCTCTCT